GGGGCTGGGGGTGACGGGGATGGGGTCCGCACCATCCCGCCGGCTCCCCGCACAGGCCCGCGCTCGGTTTCTCCAGGCTCCCAGAAAGCGGCTTTCCGGGTAATGCCATTAACTGCTGATGCGAAAGCTGCAGGGCCGCAGTGACCCCCGCCCGCGCACCGTGCCRGGGATCCGAGCTTGGCAACAGCGGGATGGGGGATTCCCGGGCAGGGGGCTCTCGGCCTAACGGGGTGTTTGGTGTGCGTGTCCTGCCGGGATCCCGAGCCCCTCGGATGGGGGATTGTGGAGAGGGGAGCGCACCTGCTCCCGAGCATCTCCCGAGCATCTCCCGAGCATCTCCCGCCTCACAGCATCCTGCTGCCCAGGGTCCTCCCCCTTTCCTGCCTCTCCAAAACTCTGTGCACACTCATTGTCCACCGTTCTCCCTCTAAAATCGGGAGTAGTTCAGAAAGGGTTGTAATTAAATTTTCTCTACTTTTGGGGGAAACTAACTTCTTGAAAGAACTTCAGTAGTTTAAGTACTGACTTGTGATTGACAGTATTTCCATTCAGACACATGTTTATGATTCAGTACTGACTTCTAAATCCATATATAAACATATTTATAAATACTCTATTTCTTTGCCTCACGGATCACTGATCAATTATTTTTCCCGTTGCCTTCTCTTTCTGCCTTGTCTTTCCACCTTCTCTGCAGGCTGCAGAAATAGATCTGGGCCTTCCTGCTCAGTGCTGTATTCTAGCCAAGCTGACTGACTCTCCTGATAACAGGCCTCAGAAAACCTGAACATTTCACTCTTGTTGTAACTTTCTTATTGTAAATTGCTCTTTTTCTTGTGAGAATAAAAATGTTGATGCTTCTTGCAAAGATGATGAGTGCATAGGGTTACACAGGGGCTGAATAGTTCAGGTTTGAAGCTGGTGATTGGTGCTTCCATAAAGCCACACTGAAGATGAGTAGCTTAGGCTTCTTGGTCGCARTATTGTCTTCTGGTACTTCAAATTTTTGTCTTCTGGAGCTGATTTGTGAAGGGGAGGGAAAGAAGAAAATTCGCTATTCATTAACAGAGTGTTGTATAATCCTTCCCTCACTTTCCTTGGAAATCTTGAATATGATTTTATTACTGTATATTCAGAATGCTCTCGTTGTTATAATTTAGTCCAGAACTGGTGCTAACAATAGCAAGCATTGCTCTATAGGCACAGATGGAGTTTCCATATGTTGAGAGTAATATTAAAACATTAATATAGGAGATATCCTGCACCCCACCCCTTCAGCTTTCTGAAAGAAAATAGCTGATAAATATTGAAGGATGATAAAACAGTGCAAGGTATATAAGCATAGACATTGTAAAGCATTCTTGTATCCCAGCCTGATGTATAAGCATAAGTAATTCACAAGAATTTAATGCTTCTGGTAAACCTCAGTGTGAGCAGGATTTAGTCCATGCTGACCACTGGAGATGAAAAAGGAACTGTGTTTGTGAAAAAACATGCTCCCTCTGGAACTCCTGATGAAGTAAAAGGGTACTGGTGTAAGGGAAGGAACAGCCATTGTGCAGAGCAGGCCAGCCTGGCTGGATTTAAACTTTTATGTATAGATCAAAAAGTCGAGAGGTTAAAGACTGAATCTTGCATTGTTTTTTGAACACTTGCTTTCACAGTTCTTTGAGCATATTTGTAGTTTGTGCCCCACCTAACTTCCTTCAGCTGTTCTCCCTGATGCAGAGTACTTCCCTTTCCTGTGTGACTTTTCCTCTCCTCATTCTGTTTCCACAGCAATCAGGACTTTTTGAGTATAAAATCTTCGGTGGTCTTGATGACTGCCCCCCAAAGTTGTGTGTGGATGTCTACATGGATTTGAAATTCAGAAAAGAGTGGGATCAGTATGTTAAAGGTAAGCTCATCTAGGCAATGTAAGAGCAAGCTTGAGTTCATATTGATTGTTCCCACTAAAACTCTCTTCAAAGGTATTTTGAAGTTGCTGCATCCAGAGAGTTTGGATCAGACTTAAATATCTTTTGGGATGAGGTTGCACTCTGTGATTATACAAGTAAACACTGCTATGGAACAGATAATCTCTCAACAGCGTGTRTCTTTCCTCTGGAATGAATTCTTTCTGTGTTGGTGAAAGCATTTGATTGGCATCACTGYTTATGCTGGAGCACCTTGTAGCTTCTAGTTCTTGTAATGCTTAGGTTAAATTTTAGTGGRTGTTCTGGGAAGACATGGARAGATTTTGTGTCYGTTTGCWTATGGSAGTGGAGCAGTGCATCATACARTATCAGATTGRAAAGGACCTTTAGGATCATCTGGTCCARCCTTCCTTGGCAAAAGGAGTCAAGACAAAATGGCCCAGCACCCTGTTCAGCTGAGTCTTAAAMGTGTTCAGTTTTTGTCCCTGGGGAGTTTATTTCAATGGTTGTTTGTTCTCATTGTGARAAATTTTCCTCAGACTTCCACCAGTTTGATGCATGATAGAATATCTTTTCCTGAAAGCATGGGTTGTTCTTGGCACCGTTTACCATCAGGAATGGGTGTATTGAGAGAACACTTGGTAACTTTGGGTTTTTACAGAGAAAGGAATGACTAATTTAGTTACATTAATTTAATGTTGTGTTTGAAAAAGGGCATTGAACTGGATATCGATATGATGTTAAAASATCTTAAGTCAGCAAAACAAGGTAAGCATTCAGCTCATGTAGACATCCAATAATCCATTTATCCCTTTCCATTTTAAGCCTTTGCTTGAAGTCAGTTCAGGCCAATAAAACTGAAAAGTGGTCAGAATGTTTTGCTGAACAAGGAGCAGTGTTAAAAACCAAAGACTTGTTAAATGTTGTGCTTGTGAGGTTTAGGACAGCTCCGTGGTGAGTGATTGCTGATAATTGCTGTGTTGATACAGGGAACCATAGATTTAACTCATGTCAGTATTTGGAGTAGTGTCTTCATTAGTAAGTGTTAATTGTCAAAATGGTCAGTAGCTTTCTTGTAGCAAAGGCCACTTTGCCATTAATGAAACAAAGAGCCAGAATGGGACTCAACATTGTCGTATGGGATGTAAAAATACTACATTGAGTTACTTCAGTAGCCTTTAAGTGCATTTAGGAAAAATGAATCCTTCTTAAATAAACACTATTTTTTTTAATTCCTTCGTAGAGAAAAGAAAGGAAGCCGTTGGGGGAAGCTACACCCTTAAACTAAAAACTAGACAATGTTGCAGAGCTGACATTTATATCCTTGCTGACCATAGTTTGTTCATCTGTTAATTTATACTTGTGCTGGTGCTTTAAGCCCAGCATTTCACAGAAATTAACTCTTGAAGGGCGTAAATGTAACATAATCCTTCCCTTCCAGCTTAAAAATTGACACAAGCCCACCCATTCTTTAGGACTCTACATATGATGAAATAGTGCCAGACAGCATTTAAAATGTAACCCCATAGAAGCCTCGGCTTTTTCTTTCACGTTTAGGAAGACTTTAATTGAGAGCCTTCTTGCTCTTTGTATTACTGTTTGTATTCCTTGGCCTGGTTTGTGCTGGAGCTGCCAGTTCAGCAGGGAAGTTGTGACTAAACTGTAGAGTAGTGACTGAGGTACCACACGCTTCTGTGACATGATCCAGAATGGTTGGGCCTGAGCAATACTGAAACTTGCTACTCCTGATTGCAAGACCTCCCTGAGATCAGACTTCCCAACAATTTARCTGTAATAAATGTCTGTTGAAGCAGCAAGTGCTGCTGTGCCTATTATGGATAGAATTGACYGGTGATCCCTTGCAGTGATGCTAAATGAAATCAGATAATTGATTAAAATGCACTTTATTGTGCTTTGAAGTGAATACAGGTGGGATGTGGTTCACCTCTTGTGTGTTTTTCCTGTGTTTGCACAGGTAGATGAGGTAGCTAATAACAGTTGTGTCAGACTCTTTGAAACAGTGTCATGGTGCCTTTGGAAAAGGAAAGTTCTGTGGTTAGAAGTGAAAGTAAAGTGAMTAATCCAATGCTCCAGTGACCTCTGGTGGAAAGCATAAATGTTGTGGGTTATTACAACACCAGGTGCATCCAGTACTGCTCCAGCTGGAGGAGAGGAGAAGCTGTTTCCATGGGTGACAGCTGGTTTGCAKGGCATGTCACAGAAGCCTGGTTTGGAACATGTCATCCAGGGAAAGAATCTCCCATCTGGGGCACTGCTCTTGCCTTGTCAATGAGATTATCAGTCTGTTCTGGCCTCACTTTCAAMACCATGGAAAGAGATGTGGTTGAGTCTGGAGGATATCGACCACCTCAGGCACAAGTCACTCTAAAGGAAGGAAAGACCACTCTGAGTGTTGAAGGTGAACCACCTTTTGGGATCACACTCTTCTTTACTCCAGGCCCTGAGCCAACAGGAGCTCACCCTGGCTCAGCCCCATGGCTTGTCAGGTCCATTGCCCTCATAGTGGCAGTTGCAGCCTCAGGGAAAGCAGCTGTACCGTAGACAGGTTTCAAACTCAATTATGTGGTTGGATTTAAACTATTTTTTCTCCTTTACCTACTATCTCACTGAGTCACTGCCGTGTTTTAGGTACTATTCTTAGGTTACTTTTTTTCCCTGTTCTTCTGCCTTCTGATTTGAGTTTCGAGGCAGACAGAAGGTGGTGTAATGAAGGCTCATAAACTGCTCAAGATTCTAGTTTGCTGTTGCCTGTGTRTGCTGCTGTGAAATTCCTGACAATTTTTCCAAAATTCATTAATCACTCATGTAAGATGTCTTCAGGTACACTCATCCATGTTAAATCAGTATAATTTACAAGGGTAATGACATGCCTGTGGAAAACCATCTTGCACTTGTGACTTAGAATTGTGTAGAATATGCATAGATGAGGTAAGAGCTTTGGGATGGAACAGCTTTGAATGAGCAAAGTGTTGGGAAAAGGAATTTGATTCTGCCTCCCCCAGAATTGTTCTGCTTTAATGTTTKGGGGGTTTTTGTTTGTTTYGGTCTTTCCCCYACCAATTAAGCCAATAGCCACAGAAAAACAGGCCACCTATTTTTGTGTATTTGATTCCTGAACAATTCTGGTGCAGATCTTCTTAATGTCTTTTCCTGCTTAAACTTTATATAYGTATCAATTTTGACTTTAGAGTTGCATGTAAAATGTATTCATGTCAGAATTCTGCTCAGAGTTCTGGATGCTGTCTGTAGTTCTGTTGCAGTAGAAATTAAAAATATCTAACAGTCTTCTTTCAACCATAGAACTGTATGAGGAAACATACGATGGTGAAAAAGTAATCTACTGGGAAGTGAAGTACCCTTTTCCTCTCTCCAACAGAGATGTATCCTTTYAAGCTTTTGTTCCTCTTGCAGTTTCTACCTCTTGGTCATCCAAGAATCCCAACAATGAACTGATACCACTGCTCTGCTGCACTTGATCTAAGATCTTGCAATCCTCACATTACATGAATATTTATGGCATGATGAGGAGTGTAGGGGCCTCTTCCCACACACAGCTAGAGCTTCCATATCTGAATTATTGCACTGCAGGATTGAATCCTGTAGGGGCATGAGAAATAACTTGAAGGASCTGCTGTTTGTGATGGAATTCACTTGTCAACTCCTCGTCCCTCAAAGTGACATTTGTTTTGACATGCCTCCTCAACTTGCAGTGCAGTATGTCTATATTCGGGAACGTCGGGAGATGGATATGGATGGGAGGAAGATCTGGGTTGTGCTAGCAAAAAGTGTGACTGTTCCTCAGTGCCCTGAAAAGCCTGGTATTACCAGAGTTAAAAGCTATAAACAAAGCCTGGTAATTGAAAGTGATGGCAAGGCTGGATCTAAAGGTAAGAGGTCAAAAAAATGTGTAACTGGTCATGTAGCCAGGGAATGTATGTATTAGCAAAACATACTGAGAGGGGGACTGCAAATTTTGAGCCAAGAGGTACCTTAAAATGAATGAAACTTTTGGAAAAGCCAGTGCAGTGCACTGCTATGAAAAATCTTTTATTTASTAGTTGGCGTGGGTAGTTAAGAATAGTTTACTGACCACTTCCTTCTGCCCTGCCATCCCACCCCCAGTCTGTATTTCTTTTCCTGCCAGACAGTTCAGCTGGGGAGACTGCTGCAATTTTCTTAACTCAGCAATGATTCAAGTATTGTGTTTGACAGGCTTATAGATTAAAGGGTTTGCTTAGAGGTTGACTTCTGTCTGAGGTTAGTCTTTAAAATACATTGTTACTTTGTAAGACAAGGTGTCAGAAATGGTTTGCAATAATCTAAATTAATATTGTGGCTCTGTCAGCTTCCCAGAGGTTAATCAGGAATGCCTGTATTTACTTCACATTTCACTTCAGGACAAGATGACTTTTTTGTGCAGAATTTAGAGCAGAACTGTTGCARTTGGTGCTTCAGTCATGCACACCAACAGCTTCTGTCACAGTGTGTTAGAGCTAATCCTCAGACAACTTTCTGGTAACTTTTCTCTCTAGTCTATATGTACTATTTTGATGATCCTGGTGGCATGGTTCCATCCTGGCTGGTCAACTGGGCTGCCAAGGTAAGTAAAGGTTAAAACACAATGGTCTTTGGCTAATCTGTTTCAAACAATGAATTCACTGCATTCATACCTATCTTCTACATGTTGGGCACAATTAATTTTTTCTGAAATAGATATATCGGCCTCTCTAGCTTTTACACAGTCCTATATTTACAGTCTCACTATAGTATGTTCTAATGACAATAGTCTTAATTAATTAATTTATTTTTAATTCCTGTCCAATTCCTTTGGTTTGTCAACCAAGCASCTACATTTCTGCAGCAAACCCCAAATAAACCATGTTTCAGAGYATTTATAAATAGTCTCCAGCTAACTTCAATAATGCAGTTTGTTCCCAAAATATTCAAGGAATGGTTTGATGCTCTGTGCCAGATCTTAGAATTGTATCTCAGACCATTGTGTATTAGAACTGTATCTGTTTGTAGACCTTAATCTATATAATGGGAATTCTCATCTTACTTATGGTTTWTATTGATTACATTATGCAAGAATGACTTTTCCACTTTTCTCTTTACAGAGTGGTGTGCCTGCTTTCTTGAAGGATATGCAAAAAGCTTGCCTTAAATATTCTAAGAGCAGATAGGTATTGAAATTGATCTTAATCATTTAATTCTTAGATCTCTGTTCTTACAGGAGTGATTGTTATGTATTACACTGGATAAAATCTACCTCTAATATCAGAAAGAATTTTATTTTAATATCATTATGCCTTGAGTTTTATTAGATCTTCTTTTTCCATCTCCAACTAAAGAGCTGGCCACTGACAAGGTAACACCAACATCAGCTACTTTTGAAAGTATTCAAGTTTTGGCTTGTTTCCCATGCATTGCTTGTGCTGATTGTTAGGAGTCAGCCAGAGGAGTTTGTGATGGATATGCTACATCCTTGCACAAGAGACGGCAATCTTACTAGAAAATATGTCTGAACTTGGACTGCACATTATCTGCATGTGTTATGCCCAGATCTGCCTTTGCTGCCTTGCAGGTGGCTTCCTACCCAACCTCAGTAATGGGACTTGCATTGCATAGGAGGAAAYGTTTTTGCTACCCAGGTTTGTCATTCTTAAACTCTCTGCCTGTTCTAAACCTAAAAAATGTTGAGGGCTGAGGTAAATTACTAGAAATGTGCAGCAGGAACTGGAAGTTTGTGTTATGAAGCTTCCTTGTGATGGCTTTAAGTCCAGTTGTAAAAATGTAAAAAAACTCAACCCTAAAGCCTTGGTATCACAACTCTTATGTAAAAAAGTAAAAACACTGTGTCCAGCTAGAAGAAAAAGAAGGAGGTGACTTCTTCCATATCTGATTTAAGTGGAACAAGTTTTATCTTCAGTGTCAGTCGCTTTTTCTCTAAGGAAGCTTGGATAACAACTTGAAACTGGAAGTAATTTTAAACTGKGTGCCTGCCACTGAATGTGGATGARCTTGATGYGGAACTTGGGCTTGCTTGCATTTTTAARTTTCATGCTGATAYAAAGAATGGRTGTTAACCCACTGAAAGCTTAACTGAGCAGCAAATTAAATTTCCAGCACMTTTTCAGGGGGTGGGGCAGGGAGTACTTAAAAGATGAGAGAACCCCAATCTCAGGGATTTAAAATATTCTACACTGTTTCTAAATCTAGTCCTGTTTCTGAATAAATCTGGTAATGGAGTAGCTTTGTCTTGTTGAAAACAAAACTATTGAAGTGATTGACTTTATACCTTGTGTGAATATTTGCTTCCAATAAATTATTATTTTATCCATGTAGTGTTCTTTTTGTGTCTCTCATGTTTCAGAGTGGCTGTGCTGGGCAGGTCACAGATGACAGACTGATACCGTGAGCTGCCTTATTTTTAAAGGATTTTGAAAGAATAAATTGGATTAGAGCTAAGCAGAATTCCATGTGTTCTGCCAGCAGTTTAGGGTTTTTTCGAGTGTCTCTGACTTGGAGACCATCTCTGGATTGAATATTACAGTGTTACATAACATGATATAACAACATTTTAAAAGGGGACTAGCTGRGGATGAATATTCCTGGAACAGTGATGCAAAGTAATTAATATCCAGTTCTTTCTGAACAAAACTGACCTCTGTGCCACAGTAGTCCAAAATCTATTGTAATTGTAAACCTTCCTTAGAATTTGAGTTKAAATGTTTACAAGAAATGTTTACCTAGTGAGCTTAGTACGTGCACAGAGATGAATCATGTACAGAAGTGGTAATTTTTTCATTCTTTTTCTCCAGASAGTTTGTAATTTTGTTTAGTCTTTAAGGAAATGAAAGCAGGAGAAAGAGTGAAAGCATTTTATAACTAAATCCAGTGTACATGTGTGTGAAGTGTGCTGAGACACTGAGGCTGAGAGTTCAGGAGGCTCAATGGCTCCATTGTCAATCCAGGTGAACATTTGATCTCCTACAGACCCCACTCTGAGTCTTTGCTCACATATTCACACTGAAAGCATTGCACAGGCAGTTTCTTGTGCTGTACACAACTTTCTAAACTAAAATACATTTGATAAAACAGCAGCTACTAAAACCAGCTTTTCCGCTGTTTACAAGCAGCTAAGCAATGATGTGAGGTGAATGCAACATCAGATCTTGTCTTCGGTTTCCCATGGGCTTTTAAAGTAACATAAATATGCAGTGACACTTCAGTTTAAGTCTGGGTKAGTACACCCATCTTGTTTTGTTAGGGAAGAAAAGTTCCAGCTTTGTGTGATGTGGTTTCATGTCTAAATGGAAGATTGTGGCTAGAAAGAGTTGGTGTTTTCAGTTTTTGGACGTAAAGATGTTCTTAAACCATTTTAGAGCATAATTAATGACTCACTAAATATTGATGTGCCATAAATTATGCATGCATCATGTGAGCCTTTCTGGAGAGCTTGAGCAGGAATTTACCTGCAGTGAAAGTTGTTAAGTCATTGTGCATGATGAGTTCTGCTATTACAGGGTTATGAAAAATGAAACCCCCTTTCCCTGCTGTTTGTTAATGTAGCACCAACAAAGCAAATCGGCTTTGTTTCACCAGCTTGCTTGAAACTGGAGTGCAAAGTTTGTTCTTTTAGAGTGATCTGTTGTAAACAAAGGGTTGTTAGTAAAAAAAATGAACGTTTCTGTTAGGTGATGACTGAGCATCTCATCTTCTGAATCCCACCCCAATTAACAGGTTGGTAGGTGTCACACTGCAGATTTACAGGGACTAAGGAAGTTTTCCCCAGCAGCCAAAGAGAACTAGAAAAATGCTGTAGTTTCTGTCAACAAACAGGCATCTGCTCCAAAGTGCAGCATTAGTTTCCATAAATCATAAAAAGCTTTGGATCTCTTCTCATATAGAACTTCTGTTTCAGATTTACCAGCTCTTACTGAAACATGTTTWGGCATGTTATTCACAAAAAGAAGTGGTTTTTTTGGATGACTGGTCCCACATCCCCTGTTTCCATAAGGAATGATGCTGTAACAAAATGAATATAAACCATTCTCCCACAATGTGTTCCAGTCATTCAAACCCCTTCTTTCCATGTGATCTCCCTGTAAAACCATTCTATTTGAGTTGGAAGGTAAAGTAAAGATTCTCAGTAACCCAAAGTCAACACAGAGAATGATGTCAAATTTGCAGTCACTGGTGCTGCCTCTCAGAAGATGATGTGCAGAGGGAAACACAAGTTGTCCTTGCTCAGGAAACATCTGGCTGATGCTTCATTTCTCAAGCAGGTTTTTATAATTTAGTGGAAGAAAAACTGCGGGAAGACAGGCCTTGAACATGCATATTAATTTCAGCCTTGTGAAAAATTTCCTGCACCCAATTGTGCAACAGGTTAAACTGAAAGCTGTTCCTGCAGTGTAAACASAAGTACCTGTAATATTAAGGTTTAAGTGAGGTTGCCTTTATCTATACTCATCAGATTTCATGCACATTTTAGGATTTTTCTTAGGCCTATTTCATCACTGGAGGCAAAAGAGATTCTGTGATGGACTGAAAGAATCAGGTTTTGCTCCAAGCTTAATTGTCTTCTTCATCAGTGGAAGAACCCCATGAGAATTAATCATGTTGTTCCCAGAATGACACRTTTGGGATTGAAGCAGTTCTTTTACAACACATAAGGCCAAGGGTTCCTTCTGTGCTGTATAAACTGAGCAGGGGCCTGCTGTGAAGCCACAAGGTTCACTGCATTTCTGCCTGAGCGTATCTTGGAAAGTTTTAAGTCTTTCCCTGTTTCAGTCACTTAGAGCCATGGATTTTGCTATTCCTGGTGCATATACATGTTTTTCAAAGCATGATAGAAATTGTGTGTAATTGCCTGGAAATGGATATTTCATATTCAGCTGCAACTTTGAGTTACAGTTTAGGAGTGGATTTTAAATATTTTTATTGAGACCACGCTGCTGCTGTGCATTTTAAAGCTAATGTGTTTTCTCAGCATGGAAGCCATATAATCAATTCGAACATTCGAGTGGAACCCACAAGAAGCCAAAATTGCCCGGCCAGCCCATTTACCCTGTGAAAGGCTGATGATGCTGTTCAACTATTCAAATTTAAAAAAAAAACAGTAGGAACATGCCTTCAGCAGGAAATGACTGTGACACTACAAGGACCTATTGTCTCGGAGTGTGAGGTGGTTATGTGAAAGAATACATTGCCTTCCACTCATTTATTTTCTTCTAACATGGGAATGAACTGACCCATGATAACATTTAAGGTGTGGTTCTAGGAACCATGAAATTGAGAGCATTATTAACTGAATAATGAGTTTGATTAATTCACTACAATGACAGGCGGCATTGGAGGAACAATCCATTTTAAATCCATTTGAAACAAGTTAGAGAATAAGAATAAAGAAGCAATGTAAGGACCTTTTAAGGTTTTTCAGCAAAGACAGGCCTAGAAATATCTGCCAGGCCACCAAATGCATTTATAGGCATAATATAAGTCCTTCCCTTGCATAAAGTGTGTTTCACAATTTTGTGCTTAACCCATCCTGTCTTTCAGACTAGCAATTTTGTATTTTCAGTATCTTTGCCAGTAAGCTCRTTGTGGAAATATTAATTTAGTAGACAACTAGTATTTTGCTCTATTTTTTTAATGGTCAATACRTATCAGAATGTTTTGAGCCAAAATAAATGAAGCTTTTTTTCTTGGTGATGATAATCAGCAATGAAACAAGTTATTTTGAGAGACTCTGAAATCTCCATTCTTGTAGATACTCAAAGCTGAGGTGGACAAGGCTCTGGGCAATTTTTCTGACCTTGAAATTAGAGCCAGCTTCAAATTTGATGCTGCATTAGGCTGTGGGTTGGACTGGATGATGAGATAATCCCATATGTCCCTTCCAAGCTGAATTAATACAAKAATTTTAATATTCATAAATCCATGAGATTACAGTGAATCCTTCTGGGAAAGCAGCATTATTTTCTTTCCAAATGCTGTTATTTAACAGACCAACTTCAACTGACACACAATGAGATGCCCAAGTGTATGAAAAACCTGTAATCAAGATCTGTATTAGAAACAGGTACATAGACATTTCTGGCAAGATGCTGATTGTAAACTACCTTTTTGCTTTAGTTTATTATTTTAACTAAAATTATTTGTATGAGATTGGTGAGAAATCTGAGAAATTTAAAATAAAAGCAGACTTTCTGAATCTTTTTTAGGGAAACTTAATATCACAATAAGCACATTATTGAGTGAAATCATGGTGACCAAGTTTGGAAAAGGACAGCAATAGCAGACAAGCTGAGGCTGWGCTGCACACTCCCAGAAAAGTTACTGGTGCCAGTTGTTATTGTTCATTTCCTGTTGCATCCAGCAGCTGCAGATCGTATCTGAAAGGTTAAAAGCTGGGAGAGGGCCARCTGGGCAAGGCTGAGATGTAATCAAAAGAGAAGATGAAATGCAGATTTAGAATATCTAAGCATTCCATGAGGATCCTCTAGTTCTACCTTACTCATCATGGAAGTATTTTTAAAGACAGCACTCTCAAATTTTAGCCTTACACATGGTGAGACTCTCTTTTTGTCAGATGGGAATATATATTCAATCACATTTAATTAAAATTCGATTCATATTAAAGGATATTTACTGTTAGTAAATAGAGTGTTCTTCACCAGATCTGGTGCTTATCACCAGCCTAATTCAATATTTAGCAACAGAAGGAGAAGAAATCTTTGTGTTGATTCCATAGTGGACTTTCCTCTCCCCAGCCCAATGATGGATATTTCCAATTGMCATTTACTGCTGAATACAATGTCCTTTATTGTCACATGCCTTCCCCTTTCCCTTCCCCCTTCAATACTGTGTCAACATTTGGGATGAGCCCAAATCCTAATGTGTGATCTGACCTTCTGACATCGTAGCCCAGTGAGCTACCAACCTGGCCACGCTTCCTGCTCCATAGAGCAAGCACAAACACCACTCTCAAGGATCAKCTTCTGCCCATCTATTATTTTTATGCCTGTTGCTGCTTGTGCATTTTAATGTTTTATAAAAATCTTGCAGTGTTCTTGGTTGTCTTCCCAAAATACATATGTGGATCTGTGGATCTTTTTATGTGGGAATAGGGATTATGTCTTTYGAAATTTGTTACTGTTGGAATTAGGGAAAATGAGGGGGAACAACAAAAACTGGACTGAAAAGAGAGAAGTAAAGATGAAATTATGCTAGTCAGTGTTAAGCAGGGCAAGCAGCATTCTGAAAACAGAATGTTTTTTGTTTAAAATWATGTGATAAAGTATATTCACTATATTTTATGATAAAATAATTTAAACAACAGGGTAGTTTTTCA